CACCAAAAACTACAGGGGACAGAACATAAATCCGGGGCGAATGGGTTAACTGGGCCTAAGTCTTGAAAGAGTGTCTGGAGACGATCTATTCACAATTTAAAGCCACATATCTTCAAATAAGAGTTCAAACATAATTTGAAGGTGATAAAATATTTACGCACAATAAAAATTTGAGAAATTGCAGTAAAAATGTTGAAAGTTCTATGAAAATTGCAGAAGCTTAGTCACTGTGTACTTGATATGAGTATCTAAGCAACAAGGATCCAAAAGCAAAGTGAGGCTCGCCCAAATGAGTCTGTTTCACAATATCAAAGTTTGCCAATAATCTGAGAAATTTTGGGGCTTCTTTGACATCGCTCGTGCAACAATTAAAAAATATCTATATTATCGGACAAACTGAGATTTTATAAGCCTAAATTTATATAAAGAATCCCTCAACACATTACTAGTTATATTCTACCAATATCATTGCGTTTGCAACGTTGCCAGGCAAATAATTGAACCTTAAATATAAATTTAGCTAAAATAAAGAGAGTGGCTAGTTAATTTTGGCCAGTAGTGTATATATATATATATATATATATATATATATATATATATATATATATATATATATATATATATATACAGTAAGTCCCCAACTTATGAACATAATGGGGACCGAGAGGCTGTTCGGAAGTCGATGTGTTTGTTTGTCGAAAGTCGGGTCTCCATTGCCTTTTTTCCCATTGTGTTAAAGTTTTGTTTACATTAAGAATACCTGTTGATAAATCCCAATAAGTATGACATACCTTAAACATTACCTGCAATATGTAATGCTTTTAATATTATTTGATGGTGATTCATACAACTTTAATGTAGAAACATAATTTATTCAAAAAGAAAATATATTGTAGTGGTGATGGCTGGCGAACCGATCCATAAGATGGTATGTGGTCAGCTGAGCAGGGGAGAACACAACCAGGGCTGTCACACAACACGAAGCCTACGTCTGTTAGACCGGGGATGACGCCATACCATACTGAGAAAGATTGATAAGCATGGATAGAATAACACGGCATCGATCAATGGGGTTGAACAGGTGTCTATAAATCTGGGATGACTAAGTGTCTGTATATTGGGGTCAAACAGCTGCCATGGATACCACTAGGTTACAGACTCACATTTAGGTTACACATTTTAACGTTAGGGCTATGTCAGTTACATACATAAAAGCATTTCACATGAAATATAAAACAGAAAACATTGCATTCTTGAAATAAAAATTAGGAAACTCGTAAGATTTACCTTGTTCACTTGGATTTGTTTGACGTTTCTTGGCACTTCCACTGGCTTCACCGTTTATCTTTCTCTTCACACCCGACATTTTTGATGGATGGATGCACAGGTAAAGCGAATTATGGCACAAAAATAGGCGGTACATGAGGATACAGTGAACAGATGCTTTCGTGTTTATGGCGGGAGGGCATAGACACCTGTTCAACCCCATTGATCGATGCCATGTTAATCTATCCATGTTTATCGATTTTTCCCAGTATGGTATGGCGTCATCCCCGGTCTAACAGACGTAGACTTCTTGTTGTGTGATGGCCCTGGTTGTCTTATGGATTGGTTCGCCAGCCATCACCACTACAATATATTTTCTTTTTGAATAAATTATGTTTCTACATTAAAGTTGTATGAATCACCATCAAATAATATTAAAAGCATTACATATTGCAGGTACTGTTTAAGGTATGTCGTACTTATTGGGATTTATGTACAGGTATTCTTAATGTAAACCAAACTTTAAAACAATGGGATAAAAGGTATTGGAGACCCGACTTTCGACATATAAACAAATTGACTTCCGAACAGCCTCTCAACCCCCATTATGTTCTTAAGTTGGGGACTTACTGTATATGTATATATATATACATATATTATATTATATTTATATTTGTATATGTACAATATATGAATTTCTATATTTTTATAGTTTAACCCATTGCCGCCGGGGATGGCATATACGTACATGCCATGCCCACTGTGAGTCGACTTGTTCGATTGTTTTTACACATAGATGGCTACACTTGCACTAAGTATCCAATGAGCCAATTACGAGTACTGCCTGTTTCGCCCATTCACCCTTTTCATCGATTTACGAAAATATTTAACGTTATCCTAATTTGCTGTTAAAAATAACACCATCTATATTTATAGCACTAGTAAAAATACGCTTTTTCCCGCCAATTCAAGGAAAGGTGAAATCAGGACTAGCAGAGCCATCTATGGACAGATATATTTCACAAAAATATAAAAAATGAGTACTGCATTTCCCCCATTTTCTGTTCATTTTCCCCGGCGGCAATGGGTTAATATATATGTATGTATATATATATGTATATGTATATATATGTATATATATATATATATATATATATATATATATATATATATATATATATATTTATTTTTGAATATATACAAAGATATGAATTTCCTTATTTATATAAATTGA